TTTGGTCCTTTACCAGTACTGCTCTGAGTGGCCCTTGTGCTGAGGAAGCAATCTTGGAATGTTTGGGTTTTCTTATTGACGTGGTTAAGAAAAATGAACCGACCTGTTAATGCTGGGGACTCTTGCTTTGAATAACTTTATGTGCCTAAGATATACAGTGTTTTGTTTCCTAAGAAAACCTATTTTAAATACATATTTGAGGCATTCTTAAAGATCAGCAATATCTAAAGTACCTGTTTGTACTTTCTTGGTGACTTTTTGGGGGGAGAAGGCAACTAGCTATATTTCTAGCAAGAGAGAAAAGCTTCTCTTTTTTTTTTTTTTTCTTTTTCTTTTTTCCCCCCCCCAGGGCGTTGAGAAGTATGTCACCGAAGATACAGAAGAAGCAAGATTAAATCAGGAAAAATATCCTAGACCTCTAAATGTGATTGAAGGGCCCTTGATGAATGGCATGAAAATTGTTGGTGATCTTTTTGGTGCTGGAAAGATGTTTCTGCCTCAAGTAATGAGAAAATATCTTCATATATTTTCCTATTTTGCAAAACCTAGCATTGTAAAATGTAGCCAAAATGTTCTATGCTGGCTGTTTTTTCAGATATAGCCCATGAATTATGATAATTCAGGTGCTGCTAAGAAGCAGCCCTATTGTTTCTTTACTTTGGAACTTGACTTTCTTTATGTAGCTTTATGTGTTTGTTTCCTTTCTTCCTGATTGTGCTGTATTTGAAATGTAGTTTTAAGTCTGGGCCCAGAAAAAGAGCAAGAGAGAAAAAAGATGCAAATAAAAATCGCTGTGTTTAGCACCTTCCAAGTCTGGGCCCATTTGTAGCTTCCAGTTCTGTAGTCCGTAGGGCCAGCAGCCTGCTGCCACAGAATGCTCTGCAAAGCTGGGATCTGGCTTTACAAATGGAGTTTTGTTTATTGTTTGAATGGCTATAAAAGAAAGCTAAGAGAAATCTGAGGCTATTCCTGTACCTGATCTTTATTTCCCCCCCTCTCTGTTTATCTATGCAGGTGATAAAGTCTGCTCGAGTTATGAAGAAAGCAGTTGGCCACCTTATTCCCTATATGGAAAAAGAAAGAGAGGAAAGGAGAGCCAAACGAGGCAGCGTAGAGGAAGAGGCAAGACATAGTCCTTTGTGCTGTAACTCTTTCATAGCATACCATTTGCCAAGCCATTCTGCATCATCTACCAGCAGTCCTGGCTAACTGGGGAGGTCCCAGACGACTGGAGGCTAGCCAGTGTGACGCCCATCTACAAGAAGGGCTGGAAGGAGGATCCGGGGAACTACAGGCCTGTCAGCCTGATCTCAGTACCGGGAAAGGTGATGAACAAATCATCCTGAGTGAGATCACAA